TGTACGCATGACTAGGAATACTCCACAGGGAGAGGAGGAAGTTTCACTTTGTGTTGGTTTGATTATGGATCCGATGACCAGGGGTAATAATTACATCACCAACGTCTTGCATCCCTTGGCATAAGGCGAGGCATAAATCTCTACATTATTATAATTTATAAAATCACAAGTTCAATAGGTAACACATCCATGTGCTTGTTATTTTTATTTAAATGCTCAGTATATTTACTACAAATGTAAAAAGTTTCTGAAATGCATTGTTTGTAAGTGGCCGGTGGCCATGAATTGACGATTGATATGACTGGGGGGGGGGGGGGGGGGGGGGGGAACTGAGTAGCAAGGAAATCTCTCCCTCCCCCAAAGTGCTCATTGCATGTTTGATTTAATTTATTTGGTTTATTTAACAAGCTAATCAATTTTTGAGGTTTATTCCAGCAAAGTAAGTTAGAAGTAATCTTAATTTATATTAATTTTACTCAAATTTAAAATATGTATTCAGAAACAGATCCCTCATTTACATGTCCTCAGAGAATCTATATTCGTCATACAAAGCTATTTCATACAATGTATTTATACTGACATTTAAAAATGTATACACTAGTTCTATTGTGACTAAGATACATTTAAAATTGCAAATACACAAAGGGATTTAAATTACTATAACAGAATACCTAAAAATAAATCAAAAATCAGATTTGTACATTGTATGAATGATCCAAAGAGCTACATACTAACCATCAGGTCACATGATCAAATTACTGCTATGTGTACATAACATTTCAAAAGGTGCAATTTATACCAATTTTATTTTTCTGGTGAATTAACTGGAAATTTTCATATGCCAATTAATTTCGCTTTGTGCTTCTAAAAGAAATTGTCAGGTGTTGGAAGGAAATGGTTGAGTATTGTTTACACCCTTAAGTCCTGGTTTCCTAAAAATCGCTAGTATTTTGCAGTGCAATCGTTGTACTGCATAGTAGCAGTCCTTGATGCAATCGGGAAGGGAAGGCTCCCTGATAAGACCAACCAATCAGTATCACTGAAAGCTGTCGGCGATAGCTTGTAACTATTGTATGGAAACCAAGATTTAAAATAGCTATAAATCTAATGTATTGTATTAAACACACCACAAATTCTCTTTGACAAAAAACTGTTGTATGCCCATATATAGTCATGTTGTGCCTATACACAGGTCATGATGTGATGTCATCATCACCATATTTAGGCATGTCATGTATTTGTCCAATATAGTTTAATAGTCTAAACAGGGCTTCAAGATCCATAAATCATTAAAAAAATTGACATCAGTTAATCATTTTAAATTTATGTTTTAAAAATTTATCAAGATTTTATTAGACAATCTTTGAGATGCAAAATAGAGATCCAATTCTCAATGTTTTCCTCAATCGTAGCATATGTTTACAATACACGTGTTCACACTTCGTACGAATTGATGTACATTCAGCCTTGCAAATGAATGTACTGTTCCCTCAACCATGCACAGCTCTGTCGTTGCTGTGCGTTATTCAATCAACGAAATAATTTATTATCACATTTTACATCATCGTCTCAATTATTATGATTAGCATATTACAATTCAATAATAATGATATACTAACATGAAAAATACCTAGCAAATGTTTTTAGAAAAATATGAATTGTGATAAAATATATAAGCTTATAATAGCACCACCAAAATAAATAATCATGCTTGCACTATTAAATAATATATATAAATTTATTACCTATTATAAAACAAGAATATTTTAATTATTTGGATATAATTATGACAATTAAAAATGCCAGGTATTGCTAAGTTCTTTAAGTGCTTACTATGTTCATAACATCTAAAGAATATAATAAAATTAATTTTAAATGTATAGTATTAAATAATATATATATAATAATTATTAAAAAAACAATATAAATCTTTATGAGGAAAAAAAATAACAGAAATATTTAATACTATTATACTTTATATCAATATACATAAAATACTTAAACAGAAATATTAATAATTATATTTATCTTTACTGTTAACTGTTATAATGATATATAAAATTCATATTTTGTTTAGGAAATACACCACAATATTTTATTACATTGATCTTGGATATTATTAAAATGAATTCATATTATTTATGAATATGCATTATTCTCACATAAGGCAAATCTAAAATTGCATATTCTCGGGACAGAGCAATTTTCCGTAACAACCAGTATGTTATGAAAAGATCTGTACAAATTGCAGCATACATTTGAGCTCATGTTTTGATTCTCTGCTCATGTTATAAAAACATGTTTTTACAGTTAAAATGTTTCGTTATTAGATTGTCTTGGTAACATATATTAGTACCGAAGTTTAACATCAACTGGTATGGGAACTAGGTTTCAATTCTTTTCTAAACATCACATGATCGAAACTGGCCAATCAAATTAGTTCTCTGTTGTTCTAAACCAACCTTTATTGTACATCATAGCCACAGATTATTATTACAGTACTGCAGAGGATATAAACCTACCTTGGGTTATATGCCCTCCCTTTAACGTTTGAGTAATTTTCATGCAAAAATTGTTAATTTAGGCATCAACCAATTCGTCAACAAAATAATTAATAATACTATATATGTAATACTATAATATAATACTATATATATACTATACTATATATATATGTGTGTGTGTGTGTGTGGGGGGGGGGTGCATGTGTGTGTGTGTCTTTCGCCAAAAGTCATAATGTTGGACATCATGATGTTTGGGGTTAAATTGCACATGCTAAGATCATGTTAAGATTTAACGTTAATGTAAGTTCGGAGACTAAGATAAGAAATCATGATCTTGGTTCTAAGATCGTGACATATTTATTTTGAGCACAAATTCAACCAATTCGCATTTGACTTACTTAACGACTGAGGTCAATTCCCTTATTTGACATCACAGTTTTTGTGATGCAATTTCCTTCAGTGTGAATTTCTACAGTTTTTGTATTCAAGCTGTTATGCGTCTTCAATCTTCAATCTATGTTTAATATTTCAATTTATTCATCATTATGGTGAGATATATCTTAGCAGTTTGTACGAAAGAGGAATCTCACTGGAAATGTCTATTATCACAGGACAAAACGTTTCATGGAAAAGATCATGAATTGATTGCCAACCGTGGTATATATAAAAAGGCCTAGAATTCAAATTTTAGTGATTTTCCCGAATGTATTATTAGGCTATATTATCTTTGATTACGGTGAAGCCCATCATAAACCCCTGTGGATGTCTTAAATAGAATTCTGACGTTCAACATTCAATGGTTTCACCAATCTACAGATACAGTAGCAGTTAAATCGTAGTCATATGATAGTCAGCATGGAACAGCTTGGATAGAGCAGGAAGTGCCAACACACACCTCTTGAACAATATTCATAAATATGGTAAATACAAGTCAAACAAGTTTCTCTTTGCAAAAATTGATTTTTATATATTAATACATGGTTAATCAGTAAAATTAAAGTTATAAAATGGTAAAAGAATCATTTAAGTCTTACTTTTCAATATAAATTACTGGGGCTTTAACATATAGCTACTTAAAGTACAATATTTAAGAAATCAGCCTTCAAAGTTTACAATTTCATTGCTTTTGGTTGAAAAGTGGTGACATTGAAAATAGGAAAAATATTAACATACAGTAGTATGATGTATAAATATAGGAGTTTAGTTTAGAGCAATAAAATAGATTTTAAAATAAATGTTGACATTCTATGTTTTGGCCATTATCTCAGAAATGCAATATGCAGAAGTGACTGTCTGGCTTTTCTTTACCACAAATTCTGCATAGTAAAATAATGAATACATTTCATTTAAACATGTTTAATTCTTCAATGCCTACAAGCAAGATAAATTATTGGAATCCATAACAACCAGGTTGTATAAATCACGACAAGATTGTTTCATGATATAAAGTTTTAATTTTTTTTTTCTTTAGTCTGCAATATGAAGTCAGTAGCGGCGCAAGGATATCCCCAACGGGGGATCCAAGGTTCCCGACGTGTGGGGCTGTAGCCCCCTAGCCCCAGTAGCGCCGCCACTGGATGAAGTAGGCATTTGTAGCTTTGATCATGGCCACCTGTGAGCAAGTTTAAAAGTGGTTTGACATTTTCGCTTCTTGTCACTACAAGCATCACCCACGCACATTTTTATGGGCCTAGTGTAAAGTTTTATCATGTACACATTCAATACATTTAGCACTATCACGCACGAGTTCAATTTCTGTACAGTGAGCACAAAATTTTTAAATAGTTTAATACATGATGCATCTGTCTGTCTGTCTAGATAGAAAAAGTATAGCTACTAACTTTCTTTTAACATGCTATTTTTCGAATAGGATGCATAGTGCTTTAAGTCTAAAATTCTGACTATGTTTCAGGTCATGCAATGTTAAATTTGTATTGTAATCTGAAATTTCATTTAAAAAAAATTGTTTTTAGTATTTTATAAATCAATGCTTTTTTGAACACAAAAGAGAAAGTAACAAATTTGCTAATGATGGGTCAACTAACAGGTAATAAATAATTACCAACCAGATTAAAAGATAAAATATAATAAGAAACTATATGGAAAAGAGCAGAAAACTTTAAAATATTGTTATTTCATTATTTTTTTGCATATTTTATTTATTTATTTTGGTATAAAACAATAAGACCTGAAATTAAAAAAAACCAATCATATTTCACTTTTCAAAGGAGAATATCAAATCTAGTAATTTTTGCTGTGTTATCTTATCTCACAAGTTGATGTGCAGAACGCATTTTAACAGTGTCGATTGACGTAAATATGACCAACTGGTGCTCAAGAAATGAATCTCAAGAAGTTTATATTCTTGAATATGAACCAAAATAGACACAACGTGTGAGAATGCATCTTAAGCATATTATGCTGATAATCCGTATGAAGTACCATCAGCAAATGTTTATCGTGATGCGGGTAATTACGAGTGAACTTTGTACTTACTCTTTGTGCTTTGCGTTTATCCGTTCTCTGGCTTTGGTGATAAATTCTGCTGAAGTTTGAGACAATTACAGGCACAGGTAATGCTATAACGAGCACCCCACATAATGAACACATACCCCCTATTATTTTCCCGACGATTGTCGTAGGAACCATATCACCGTACCTATATGAGATAAAAAAAACGGATGATTACAATGAGAAGCAAGTCATATAGCTGAAAGTTCAATTCCAACTTTAATTCTCTGAGGATACCCAGCGGGAGCGTTATAGGGTGGTTGGGAAGGGGGGGGGGGATTGCAGACACTAGGATCACCACTGAGGATACTAGAAATACAGTCTATTTGGAATGAATAGCCAAACTATGGGAGTGGGTTTGATATGTAAAAAAGTTTGTTTAATGAATTCTTGTATAATCAAAAAAAGTTATGATTAAAATAAAAAAACTATTTTGAACAAATAAAAAAAAATATATATTCAAATTGCTTAGTAATCATATTTACGTAAAAGATTACTGTATATTAGCTTTCATAAATAAAACACATTTGGGTGAAAAATATTTTCTTATCAAGTATCAACAGAACTGTTTTATATTCTTTGCATGTGTACAGCACTAAATTGGCTGGTAATATTTTTGTAGTAAAAGGTTTGTGAATTAGGAAAAACTTAATAGCTTACTGCAGATCTATCTCTAATTAAAAGTCGATAACATATTTGATACATTTACATTAGCAATTAAATGTTTTATTGATTTTGTGAAAAGTTTTCTTTTTACATTTTCCAATCAAAAAGTAAATTTTTAACTATATGACTCACAATCTACCTGATATACTGTATTTTATTCAAACTTATTAAAGAAACGAATTATAGTTAGCACACAAGAAACAAGTTTTTTTTTGTATTCTTATCAATGATTTATCTTCACTTCACATGAAGAATAAGACCCTAACATAAATTTCCTTCATCTGTCTCTGTTCCACTCACTGTCTATAATTTATTATTTATGTAATGTTGTTTATAACATAAATCATAGAAAGTTATCAATTCAGACAGCAAACTAATAAATACATTAAATGAAGTGAAAAGAGTTCATCCATGTTAAAACATGACAGCATAATTCATGTGTTCCATCAATGTCGACTGATTTATACTTGAGCTATGAAGGCTAGTCAATTCATTACCCTAGAAAACCAAAATCATAATAATTTATGTAACAATGAGAAGTTAAACTTTGTTGCTATATGGCTCTTTGTACTTTATCAGGGGAAAAATGGAAAAAGAAACAAAAGAGAAACAAAAAATGTCAAATTAAAGCCTTATGGATAAAAAAAAAATGGGATTAAGAAAAGAATTAAGTGGAGTAGCATTTTTACTTTGTGGATAACAAATTAGCACAAGTCAATAAAATATGGATTTTGAGTTGAATGTTACTAAATATAGCATATAAAAAATTTCTAAAATTGGAAAAAGGAAATAAACGAAATTAAAGAAAAGTAAAATTCATATATAATATCTTCAGAAGGAATGTTAACACATTCAATGATTTTGTAAGAACTTGCAAAGTTTGTATTTATTTGCATAAATTTAAAACTAATAAGAATGATAGATGATGATCATACTGTATGGAGTAAAATGACGGATGGCAGAATAATTTAGAATAATAATAATTATGGGCTTAATGTAAACTTCTGAAAACCTGTACAAAAATTATTAACTTGCCCTAGATACTATTTGGAAAGTTGAAAAGTCATTTAAGCGACGCACAGATCTGTGTCAATGGTGCTATACTTAGTATGTGAATCAGTTGAAGGCAAGCAGACCTTTTGGAGAACATGGACGATGTGAGAATGACAGTCCATGAATGCTGCTAAGTTCGAAAGTCTGTAAATTTGAGATTTTGGAAAAAGGAGAATTCTAGTATCCAAGATAGATGCGATAAAAACGAAAAAAAAAAAACATCAAAAAATCATAATACATACATCTAGTTATGCTATAATACATGCAGCTAACGTCTAAAGTCTGAAAATTTGAGAATTTGCAAAAAGAGGAATGCAGTAACCAAGATGGATTGAGACAAAATTGAAGAAGAAAACATCGAATAATTATAATACATACATCTAGATAGTTCTGTATCTCATGACAAACATAAAGGGAATGTTTTGTAACTAGTTGTTCCTGTTGCATCTCATAAAAGAATCAAATGGTAGATTCACTACCACTTCTTACTAGTTATAAGCATTAACATGTCTACAGGTAAATTATTACTAGATTTTGTAAGAAACTAACAGACGGTTTCTAAAGTAGTTGCATGTTCCATACTACATTACATATGGCAGACTTGTCTTAAAACCAGTTGCAATATTTTTTGAAAGACTTAAAGGTACTGTTTTACACTAGTTGTTACAGTACATCTTCAAATATATTTAAATAGACTATTCAACAGGTAGTTACTGTATATCTTGATAATGGATGCTTTATAAAAGTATTTGTTGGAGCTTAAGAAATTCAATTCACAACTAGTTCTTACACTAAATGAGACTTTGTCTATGCCAAAGTTTTTTTCATCTCAAGGATTTAAAGGATTGGTTTGTAAATAGTTGTTGCATCTTAAGAGACTCTCGAAGAATTGTTTCACGAGTAGTTGCTGTATTCTTCGCAACTACAGTATGAGAAATGTCATAAAACAGTTTAACAAGTTGTTGCATTTCAAAAGAAACCTAAATGATTGTTTAACAAGTTGTTTTTGTGACTACTGCCCTAGAGGAGTAGTAGATAGATTGTTGTCATCTGGCAGTTGACTTTGTAAGAGTAAATCTGGTAGAGGAATGATGGGATGGGTCATACTCATAAGCTAAAGATAAAAATGAAAAGTATTAGTCTACAAAATATGATGCCATGCTAAATAAGACCTGTCCTATTTAAAGGAAGTTATCAACTGAGTTGACATCACAGAAAGCTGCTAGATAAGACCTGTCATAGAATGTTCACTAAAAAGTTACAATAATTTGGTATATACTTGTACAGTTATCCTAGTGAATTGTCAACACAGAAAGCATGGATGAGTTAAAAGTAGCCAACAAAACACATGTCGAGCAGTAGACACATGTTCCTGCTGGGAGCCTATTTTACAGCTTGTGAGTGACTTGGTTCATAACCTTCTGTTATAATCTATAAGAAATCCTGTTTTACACCTAACTGTTGAGAGACTTGTTACATCTCTTGGGATACTTTATTCACAACCAGATGTCATTTCATGACAGATGGGACAATTTCAACCATATATCCTCTTCAAGAATAATCAACTTTTTTAATAATGATATTTTTTAATAATGATATTATTATAACATGTACAGGATGACCAAAGTGATGATGAGAGAACAATTTCACCATAATATTATATTGATGAATCTCAATGAATACAAAACTGGAATAATGTTAAAATAATTATTGTTGCATTGTAACATGTTTGACTGCCATGGACAAGAATATTTTTTCCACCAATTTATTAGACATGACATAATGTTTCTAGACTAGATAAAACTTCCAAAAATGTATTTGCAAATGTTTTGCGAAATTGGAGGACTAAAGAAATGGGTGGGCTAGCGAATGTTCTATGTATTAACTCAATGAATTCATGAAATATGGTTTTTCAGCTTTGATACCCAAATTAATGAAATAATTGGGATGCTTCATGACAAAAGCTTTAAAATTATCTTATGATTGTGGCCGATGTAATTGCACTTACACTGGAAATCTAATAGTCAATTCATAGTTGCCAACTGAAATCCTATCTCTCGCTTGTTTTAATAACCAAAAGCATTTCATGAATACAACCGCATTTAATACATTTATGTACACAATGGAAAATTCAGAATTTAATTGGCAGAAATTTCAAACACTTGTGTGGAATACATGAATCTGTGTTATTTTAATTGAATGTAGGGCCGTGATATTTGCAAATGCACCCTAAAAAGATATTAAACAGAGTTTATACGTATTACAATCCAACAAACACAGATTTAATATTTTTAGGTCTGTGCAAGGGGGAACCCAGAACCTCACTGCTGTTTTTGTTACCGGAACTTTAAAAGCGTCCAACACCGCCATTTACGGACGTGCAGGAAATTTTGTACACATAAACTGGAGGTGATTTCCAACAAACCTTCATGGCCCATTTTTTAGTTCTTCCAAATTTTTTTGTCAAGCAGCTCTCAAATATCTTAGAATATTTTTTATTTTATACAAAAATTTTTTAAAATTAATACCGAATAGAGGTTTAACACGCGGAGCGGTGAGCGGTGGCTCTAGTAAACATGAAAGAAGTACGGGCTGAAAAAAATAATAAAAATATAAAAATCACACATACCATACACACTTTCTCATTTATGACTTACAAAAAATACTGAGGATGAAGTTGTACATTAGTTTCATTTAAAACATTATAAATAAAATTAATACATTTATTATTAATATGTATTTAGGAAATTATGTATATAATGTGAAAAAAAATTCTTGTGATGTTTCTTCCACACAGCACATGTTGGCTCGATATATTCACAAATCTATGATACAAATACATATTTTGATTTATTCAAATACTAAATTATTAACTCTGGAAACCAACAGAAAATTGAAAAAAACACATATAACACATGTATGCTATAAAAGTCTAAAAGCACAAAAATTAATTTCCCAACCAATGTCGATTATGATTTCTTCGTTTTCGCTAATTGGTTTCATTTCGTAATTTCATAAATTTGCCTGAAACACTATCCCAAGGCCAGATATGACGTATTAATATTTATCTTAATTTATTTGATATCTATTGATTCCACATTACAGTATGTTCTTTGGCACCACACACTTACTGGCGATGCATGAATACTAACAAGCCAAATCATGGCTTTTCAATTACCATAAAGACCATTGTTTATAGCTCTTAATACTGATCCTCAATTCAAATGAAATATAATCATGAAATATAGTGTTGTTTATGATGACCTACTATGACCTTATTCATATTCTCAAAATTATTCCATTGATAAGTATAGACCTGTATAATACACTTACACCTTTATACCCCAGATAGTAAGATACAAAAAAACTGGCTCAAATGTTCTTGTTGAATCATATACAGATGGACAGTATTGTCTATGTCAGGGG